AAAAAAAAAAAAAAAAAAAAAAAAAAAAAAAAAAAAAAAAAAAAAAAAAAACATTACAAGTTATGAGATGTGTCGTTGTTGGAGGATAAAGTTGGAAACCAAAAAGAACAGGTTTGAATAGTCAATGGACATTAAAAGTGAACCACTCGGGTCCACTAAATATTTAATTTTTATTTAAAAAAATATATATTGAGTGAAGATGACTTCAGGAGTATTGGATTGAACTTTGATGAAATCATGATAAGATTTTTATGAAAACTAAGAACATTTAATGTTTATAACTGATGTTAGTGATGTGTTGGAAATCGTAAATGTTTTATAACACAACTATGAAAAAATAGATGATTGGATTGTTCGAGTCACCGAACGTGACCAAAAGGGTATTTTGGGGGCATGGGGATGGAATTGGGTTTCACTTCTTTTCAGATGAGCCAAACACTCACTTTTTCTCTCTCCTCAAGACCCACTTTGGAAAAAGAGAGAGTAAAGGAAACGTCCTCTCATCAACAAACCAACCACAAAGTGAAAAACCACCCCATTTCATTTTTTCACTCTTTATTTGGGCCCCATTATTTATTTATTTATTTATTTATTTTGGGTATATAATATTATTTTTAATACTTTTAAAATTAATTCATGTATTATATATCCAATTAAATTTTGTATAGAATGAAAATCCTAACCTTTCAATTTGTATACGGGGGTCGTGAATTTTAGAAATGATAAATATGTCATATTAGATAAAAAAAATATAAATTTAAGAATGTAATAATTAACAACAATATCTATTAGCGGTGTGGGTTTGATCTGTTACAAATGGTATCAGAATGAGTCGTGCGATACACTAATCAGAACCGTATTTATAATAGACAGGGTTGTTACAATCATTTAATTAAAAAAAAAAAAAAAAGTGAGGTGGAGTGACAATAACAAAACCACTTTACAAGCTCAAAACTTGGCTTTTACTTTTGCTTTTGCTTTAGAGAAGCTTAACCAAAATGGATGTCATGGCATCAACAATTTATTTTTATATTTTTTATTATTTAATTTTTATTTTCGGCTACTTTTGTTTTTAAGATATCTTCTTTTTGAACCAAAAGTGTTTCAAACTATTTGTTCCGTCAAAACATTCCAAAAAGAAAATTAATTAAATACTTCTACTTTTTAGAATTTTCTATTTTACTTTTAATTATCTACAATTTCAAAAAAGCTTTTTTTTTTTAATTTTTTATTTTATATAAATTAAATCCCGTATTTCCGTCAATCATTCCAAAAAGAAAATAATTACATTCTCCCTCTTTTTTGAATTTTGTAAACTACTTTTAATCATCAGACTATTTAGTATTTTAAACCATTTATTTTTATTCAAACATTCCAAAAAGAAAATAATTAACTGCTTCATCTTTTAAGAATTTTGTAATTAAAAAAAAAACCATTTTTTTATCACAAAATTTAATTAAAAAAATACCCCCTCAAATTTTAATTTTTAACCATTGGTATTAGTATATATATATATATACACTTCCAAAACCCAAAGTGAATACTTAATAAAAAAAAAAATATTTTTTATTAAATTATAATTTGACCCTAAACTTTTAAAATCTTGTCTATCTAACCTCTAAATTTAAAAAATTATGTCTATTTAAATCCTATATTTTATTTACCTTAAAACTATTAATGATAAAGAAAAAAAAGGTTAAAAAAATTATATATTCTTATTAAAGAAATAGGAGAGAGAAAAAGAGGAGGAGAGAAGTTTTTTTAAAACGACGTCACTTAGAGGATTTAGAGGGTTCATTTAAACGAGTTCCCCAGGGCCAACGGAAGATCGTCGCTCTCATTTTACGAGTTTTTTTTTTTTCGTTGCTTTCTTAGTTGTGTGTGTTCGTGAAAACCAAACAAAAACAGGCACTACCAAACAGAAGAAAATTCGTATTTCTGTGTAAACATCATCACAGTTCTACAGTACACCTTCTTCGTTTTCCGAGAAATTTTCTTCTTCCCTCCAAAGATTTTTAGCCCTACGCTGATTGTTTTTGCAGCAGGAGTGAACCCCATATGTCACATTTTTGAAACTGATTTGAGGTTTTCCTTCGTTTCTATCCTCTCTGCCACTTCTTTTCACATGCCCTTTGTTTCTTTCCTTTAGCTTTTCCTTCCCCCCCTTTCCCCTGTTTTTATTCGCCTTCTTACCCACCATTTTCTCTGGGTACACTGGATTTTGGAGTTTTATACCCCGGAGCCTCTTCTTCTTCCTTCGTTTATTCTTCTTCTTTCGCTGTCTGTCACTTTCAGGGTTTTTCCCATGTCGGGTTCCTCCAAATTGCGACTGGTTCGATGCCCCAAGTGTGAGAATCTTCTCCCGGAGCTCGCTGATTATTCTGTTTATCAGTGCGGTGGATGTGGTACCATTCTACGAGGTATTTTTATTTTTATTTTTTGCTTCTTGTGGGTCGAGCTGAATTTTTATTCTCTTTACCATGTTGGGTTATTGCGATTATTTCGAATTTAGGTTTTAATTTGGTATAATTTTACTGCTCCAATCAAATTTCGTGTTGTTTCTTCGAGGAGAGTGTTTCTGGGATTTGAAGCGGAGTACCTTTTTTGTTCTTTGATTTCACAGCGAAAATTAGAAATCAGGAAGAAGACTCTGTGTCTGATAAGTCGGATGAAGACGGGGTTGGTGGGTTGTCTACTAAATCCACTACTTCTCCTGAAAAAGGGACGGTTGATCTTAGTGATGATGCCTCTGATGTGGATTTAAAGGCGAGTCCTGATTCTTTGCCTTGTGATCTTAAGGGCTCAGAGATGGATAAAGTGGAAGGTGCTGAGAAGGATGTTAACTTGAATATGGATAAAAATGGCTTGAGTGATTTGATGGGAACGGAACAAGTGGATTTGAATGTTCAGATGAACATGATGAAGCTTGGATCAGGAAGAGAATTGGATTGGAAAAGGGGAGAGACAGGTGAGATGGGAGATGGGGTTGAGAAGAATTCAAGGGGTAATGTGAAAAGTGTGAGGTTCTCAACTCCGAACCACGAAGACGATCAAACGAATCGTCAATTGGAGTTCATGTCTGGTGTGCAGGAGCTTTTAACGGGTCGTGGCAATGCCAATGGAGCTGATAAAGTTAAGCACCTCGAACAGGACCGACTCGAGCTTCTGAGGAAGCTGGACGAGTTGAAGGAACAACTTGGTCAGTCTTGGCCAGTCCCTGCCGATGGTGGAATGAGACCTCCTAAACCTTTGAATCACTCTGGTGCTTGGCCTATGGATGGTTCTTCAGGATCAAAGTATGTTGCAGGCTCTTCATTTTCCAACCATTGTTCAGAACCATTTCCTGTTGCCAATGGAATTGAGATGCCTGTCCAAAGCTATTATCCGAACAATACATCTCATTTTGGTGACCCTTTTGGATCGCAAATGCTTAGACGAAACTCCTGCCAGTTTTCGTGTGCGCATCAACAGCACCCTCACCAATATCATTCTGGCCATTATGTCGATACCAGTTTGGATTCGTTCAATCACTACCCTCCAAATCCTCCCTTTCATCAGCCTTCTTGCTCTTGTTTCCAGTGCCAAAATAGATACTCACAGGTTCCATCCTCACTACCTGGTAGCGCTTACTTCAATAGAAGGTTTCCTGATGTTCCCAACAATCCCTCACTATATTCTCATGAGAACACGGCTGCTTATGGGGCATGTGTTAATAATATTAGAACCACTAATCCTCCCGTAAATCTTCGTGATCGACAAGCACAATCACGATGGCCAACTGACTTCAATTCTGAGATTGGTGGCGTCCTTGGCAATCGTCCTCGGAGGACAGTCTTAGTGAGTGGTGGCCGTAATTGCCATCCAATTGCTGGTGGTGCTCCATTTCTAACATGTAACAATTGCTTTGAAATGCTACAACTTCCTAAGAAGCTTATGATGGTTAAGAATCAGCAAAGTGTTCGTTGTGGAGCTTGTTCTACGTTGATCAATTTTACGGTTATCGACAAGAGACTTGTTTTCTCCAATCATTCACGGGGAGGTCGATTTCCCTCAGAGGTTGATGATAGTGATGAACTGGCTGTCAGAGATTATAATTCAAATTTTGGTCACTTGAACCGTACTAATTTCTCTTCTGATGATTATGATAACAACACTCTTTACGATTTCGAGTCACTAGATAGAGAGCCTGTGCTACAGCCCATCGGTACTGGTTTAAGCTCAAATAAGCAACAAGAGATGCCAAGTTTTCATCCTACATCTTCAAGCACCTCAGAGGATGAGGACAGTCCAGATCTTTCAACTGCTCCAAGGGAGGCTACAAACAATTTACACAATTTAATCAAGACGACACGCTCTCCTCCCCTTCCTGGCTCACCGCTTCAGTCATACTTCGATTACTCATCTAATAACCAGACTGCAAACAGGTTTACCAAGGGAAATCGAAGTAGCCGTTCAGATCAGGAGAATGTGAAACCAAATAAGGTTAACTCGCGACAAAACTCTTTGAAAGAAGCATCACTGGCAACCGAGATGGATGTGTCGATGAACGACTACTCTGATACCATGGCGTTTCCTGAGACAAAGGATGCAAGTAAAGAAGATAACCAGCCAAGAGCTAGTAAAGGAGGGGAGTCTTTTTTTGCAAACATTATCAAGAAGAGTTTTAGATCTAATCAAGTCGACGATCGGAGCAGAAGTAATGTTTCAGTTAATGGACAGTTTATATCGTATCGTATGGTTAAGAAAGCTGAAAAGCGTGCTGGACCGATCCATCCCGGAAAATACTGGTAAGCATACTTAAAAACTCTTCTATGCAAATGAGATAGTAGGATGCATGACAGTAAATGTTAGTTTTTGGCTGTACCTCATTCAATTATCTCACCAAACTTAAAACTGATATAGGCTGATATAGTGGTCAAGGGGGCAAGTTAAAGAAAAAGTAAAGGATTTTGGTGGGGTTACAATGCAGAATGTCTGAACTTTAAGATATAGTTTGAGAATATTTAGATTTAAAAAGCGATCTACCTAAGTGTTTCTTCTTTTTATGTAACATGTCATGATGTAAAAGCAAATCTAGCTGTTTGTGTGCAACTTTTTTGGCAAAGTAGTAAGCATAAAACAGAAGTGGCTGCTTTTTACTGTATACTTATGATGTTGTGCCATAGCCCACTTCTCAAAATACCTTCATGCTTGTCTCCATTGTGCTAATGCCACTTCAAATTAATCGAAAACAGGTACGATTCCCGGGCTGGATTCTGGGGCGTCATGGGCGGACCTTGTCTTGGCATAATCCCCGTAAGTTGAAGCTTAAAGCTGATGCATTGACTTGTGTTTTGATTCTTTGGCATGTTCTTAAATTGTCTTGTATGTTTGCAGCCTTACATCGAGGAATTTGACTACCCCATGCCAGAGAATTGTGCAGGAGGAAATACTGGTGTTTTTGTGAATGGCAGAGAGCTTCACCTAAAGGATTTGGATTTGCTTGCTGGTAGAGGGCTGCCCACTTCAAGGGACAGATCTTACATTATCGAGATCTCTGGCCGAGTTCTCGACGAGGACACCGGTGAAGAGCTCGAAGGCCTCGGAAAACTTGCTCCAACGTTAGTGCTAAGCTAATACTACTTTTGGTTGTTTAGAATTCTTCATTGGTTTCTGATATATCTAATGCTAATATATACATACAACATTTTTCTGACTCAGAGTTGAGAAGGTAAAGCATGGATTTGGCATGAAAGTTCCAAGAACAGCTTCTTAATTGGGAACACAAACCTCGTAATCAAATCCTGTATCTCAGTTGGTATGTTCGCAAAGGTTTTCTTGTCTAAATTACCAGAGCATTGTAATGTTTTATATGTTTTTGTTAGTTTAGTGTCAGTGTTTGTGTGGCATGTCTGTGTCTGTATTCAACTGTTGATAAGTTCCCAAGCTTTCCACCATTCTTTGTTCATGGAAAAAGAAAAATTTTGTTACTTAAGAAGATGAACATGAACTCAAAAGGGACCATAATATTTAGGGGAGGGGAAAGGAGAAAATTAATGAGCCCTCGCAACACGAGGAGATGAGATGAGATGAGTCCAGTAGTCACTGTCACTGCCACTGCCACTGTCCCAGACAGTGATGTTGGAATTGCTTCTGACTCAACTAAAAATTGAAGACAAAGCATCCATAAAACAAAGTGAAAAAGAAAAAGTAGAGAATAAAGGGAAAGGAAAAAGGTTGTGTGAAGTATAGAAGAATGTTAGTTTGTTTTGAAATCAGAAAGAAGACAATGGAGCTGCCATGGGCGTTGGCAAGACACTTGGCCTCGCTGCTCGCTGCTCGCTGCTGGCCACAGGTAGGTAACAAGTTTAAGGTCATTAGGGCGACATCTGGGCATTGTGTAGGTCAACCTCTAGTCTGTTGCACCTCAACCCTCGTCTTCCAAGATCATCAATTGCAAGTAATGAATGATACCCATTTCAGTGCATCAGGATCATTACTGCTTTTGTACAAAGTTGCCCATTTCAATGCGTTGAAGTGCTAAAACAACTTCTATTCTACCTATTCTTTAATAGCTTCCTTTACTATAAGTTTCGTTCATTTTTCATTCTTTGAATGCAACCGCTTACCTATCGATCTCACAAATCTAAATAAGGTAATTGGAATGGGATGCATGTTATTCTTGTTTAGGCTTTTTCCTTCGAGCTTCCCTCGAACGTTTTTTAGATGTATTTGCTAGGGAGAGGTTTCTACACCTTTATAAACAATGTTTCGTTTTTCCTCTTCAATTGATGTGGGATCTCACAACTCACTCTCCTTCAGGGTCGAGTGTCCTTGTTGGCACCTGTACCTCTCTCCAATCGATCTCACAATCCACCCCCATTCGAGACCCAACGTCATTGCTGACACATCACCTTGTGTTCCCACCTCCCTTCGGGGCCCGACGATCTTGCTAGCACATTGCCCATTTTTCACCCTCCTTCGAGGCCCAAAGTCCTCGTTGACTCATCACCTTGTGTCCACCTCCTTCAAGTCCCAACTTTCTTGTTGGCATATGACTTGGTATCCACCTCTCTTTGAGGCCCAAAATCTTCACTGGCACCCCTACTTGATGTCTGATTCTGATCATTTATAACAGTCCAAGTCCACTGCCAGCAGTTATTGTCCTCTTTGGACTTTTGTTTTCAAGTTTTCTCTTAAGGTTTTTAAAACGCGTCTACTAAAGAGAGGTTCCCACAATTTTATAAACAATGCCAACCGATGTGAGATCTCACAAAGCATAAGCGGACTCACATGGACAAGTCATTTGACCCATTAGAAATTAGACCATTCTTTTCAAACTAAAGAGAGTTATGACCATGTGGGTATAATTCAAACCTACACGCGTAACTTCTTCATTTGAGTTATGTTGAACATATACGTGCAAAGTGTTATTTCCATCGTGACACCTAAGTATAGGAGTAGTACATGAATAAACTGAGACTATATTCAAATGCGAGCGATCTTGTGAATATGATGACTAAGAAAAACTTAAAAGAATGAAAAGTTATTTCACGTGCACATTCTTTTTTTTTTTTTTTTTGTAACTTAATCTTATAAACTTCAAAATTAAGCGTATTTTGGTCACCTTTCTCATTAACGGTAGAAATTTTCTAAAAACCATCTATGATTAAAATACACATATGATTGATCGTTAAAAAATAACTCTGGGACACTGTAAACTAATAAATTTAAATCTATATTAAAAACACTCATATGTATGATTGACTGACTACCATCGACCGCGGTGATATGGGTCTCCAACAAAGTTTGTCGAAGTTTTCAATACATAGTGGTTTTCGGTGGTGGTCGCTATTGAACGAAAGTATTAAAATTCAATAAATATCATAATTAAACTCAAAATAATTCTAACGTGTAATCTTTAATTAAATATATAAACTTTAATTCATTGAACTATGTTCAAATTGGTAATAAAATATCACAAATCTCTAACATCTTTACCGAAAATATATACCAATTATTGAATCAGAATGTAATTAGTATATCACATGCATCAATAAATTATTGAATTTTACCTAATTATGAACCTTTTTGTAGGTGGAAAATAATAGAGAAATGATTGAAAAAGCTTTCTAACCTTACTAATCACTCCATTATTAATGTTCATCATCATGTCATAATATTTGCATCACTTTTAATTAAATAACTTTTTCCCCATTTCCTTCCCTCTCAACCCATTTAATTCTAAATTTATCTCTAATATTAAATTAATCTCCAACATTAAATTTTAATAACAAAATTAATTAATTTTTTTATTTATAAAATTATAAAGTTTTAATTGATAAATTATTTGCTAATACTCTACTTCATGTATTTATTAATAATGTAATTGAATATTAATGTCAAATTAAACACTAAAAAACTCATTACTCTATTTCTAGTTTAAATATCACTTTATTACAAAATAGAAAATAAATAAATTAAACAAAAAGTAAATATCCATCTGTTTTTTTTTTTGAGTCGTCATTTATGACGTCATTGCTTACTCAATAATTTATGGCCTTGTTTTCAATTAAATTTAATTAAAATCTGGAATTTTGTAGAATTTGGACGTAGGAAGGCTATGGTCAACGAGGTAAGCCCATGCATGACTGAATAATTAATGTCGGCTTATTTAGGACTTTTTTATTTTTATTTTATTATAAAAGCCTCAATATAATATTCTCATTCTTTTTAAATTTATATTATTAAATTTATTTGCATATTGTAATTAATAATTAATAATAATAATCTTGAAACAATTAAAGTATTTTAAATTTAACGTTCCGAAATAGAATATTTAAGCAAATCAAACTTTTAATACAATAAAAATATAATTTCCTAATTAAAACTATTCTAATTTTTTTTTTAAAATTTTTTTTATCAAAAGTTTTTAAAACGCTTCTAGATAGGAACTCATGTGGTATCTCACAATCTACCTTGGGGGCGAGGGTGGGGACAGAACCCGTCATTCCGAACCGTCCCTTAATTCAAAGGTGGTAGATGAGATGGGTAAAAATAGAGCAATGGGATGATAAGCCTTACGTTTGAATTGACATCAGCATCCCCCACTTCTACTCATCCACAGCCACAGGCCCGTTTCCATGTTAATTCTTCCATTCTCAAATTGCTCATTACAGCTTCAACTCTCCCAAGATTCCATTTTTATTACCTTCCATTCTATAAATCCCTTCTCTCTTCCTCTTCGCCTTCCTCATCATATTCTCAATTTCTTTCTCTTCTCTGTTTTTCCAATAACCAGAACCACCGCCGCCGCCATGGATGCTCCGGTGCCTCATTTGGCCATTCTTCCCAGCCCCGGGATGGGCCATTTAATTCCACTTGTTGAATTCGCCAAACGCCTTGTTTTGCACCACCATATAACTGTCACTTTTGTCGTCCCTTCCGACCATCCGCCGTCCAAGCCTCAAAAATCTCTCCTTCATTCCCTCCCTTCCGGCATCGATCACACCTTCCTCCCGCCGGTTAGCTTCCATGATCTTCCCCATGGATCCAAGATTGAAACCATCATTACCCTCACTGTTTCTCGATCTCTCCCATCTCTTAAGAATGTACTGAAATCCATGGTGACTAGTTCAAACCTCGTTGGCTTGGTCGTTGATCTTTTCGGCACCGACGCGTTCGATTTAGCTAGAGAATTCAACATTTCCCCTTATATTTTCTTTCCTTCCACCGCTATGGTTCTCTCATTTGCTCTGTTTCTTCCCAAACTCCATGAATCCGTCGCCGGCGAGTACGGTGACCTCCAGGAGCCGATCCAAATTCCGGGATGTATTCCGATTCACGGCAAGAATCTATTGGACCCAGTTCAAGATCGGAAGGACGAAGCCTATAAATGGACATTTCACAACATGAAGAGGTACGTTTTATCAGATGGGATTTTTCTCAACAGCTTCCCGGAATTGGAGCCCGGAGCTATCAAATTTCTCCGAGAAGAGAAACAGGGGAAGCCCCCTGTTTACCCAATTGGGCCATTGGTGAGAATCGATTCCAATGGAAGCAACGAGAAGGCAGAGTGCCTGAAATGGTTGGATGAACAGCCAAATGGGTCTGTTCTATACGTGTCATTTGGAAGTGGGGGCACTCTGTCTAGCCATCAAATCAACGAATTAGCCATAGGATTGGAAATGAGTGGACAAAGATTCATATGGGTGGTAAGAAGTCCAAGCGATAAGGTGGCCAACGCTACCTATTTCAACGTCCATAGCCACGACGACCCTTTAAATTTCTTACCAGAAGGGTTCGTAGAAAGGATGAAAAACAGGGGATTGGTGGTGCCGTCATGGGCGCCGCAGACTCAGATCCTTAGCCACAGCTCCACCGGCGGATTCCTGACTCATTGTGGATGGAACTCAACGTTAGAGGCGGTGGTTAATGGAGTTCCTCTGATCGCATGGCCGCTTTATGCAGAGCAGAAAATGAACGCGGTGATGCTGACAGAGGAGATGAAGGTGGCGTTGAGGCCAAAAATGAACGAGAAGGAAGGGATTGTGGAGAAGGAAGAGATTTGGAAGGTGGTGAAGGCGGTGTTGGAAGGTGAAGAGGGGAAGAAACTGCGAGAGAAAATGAAGGAATTGAAAGAGGCAGGTGAAAGGGCTGTTGGGGAAGATGGGTTGTCCACTAAAATAGTGTGCGAGATGGTTGAGAAGTGGAAGAGCAAGATTTCCTCTTGATTTGCCTTTATCCTTACAAAACCATATCTATGTTCATATTTAAAAAGTTGATCTACTTTTGGTGGTTCGTTCTTAAATTTTCAATTTTATATCTAAGTCGGTATGAATAAATCAAGTTAGACCAAGTGTGGATTGTAGGGGTCGACTTTTGGCTAGCCGAGGTCGAGGAGAACGGCTTGAGGTTTGGCCTGTTTTCACATGGTAACAATCTATAATGAGGAGTGGTTTCTATGTCATTAATGGTGGGCGGGAATTGAAGAATTGACAGTACAGATTGGAAGGTTGATAGGACTACGTTTGTGTGGGTATTCCAGCGCACACTTGTAACAATTCAATTTTAGTTCCACTCCAATTCTCATATTCATATATTCTTCTTCTTTTATGATAATTATAATGATAATAATAATAATCCCACTGCTAGTAAATATTGTCCACTTTAGCCTGTTACATGTCGTCATCATTCTCACGATTTTAAAACAGTTTGCTATAGAGAGGGAGAGGGTCTAGCCCTACTGTGCGACTAGTGTCTCGCACTGTTCGGTGACTAGACTTAATACCATTTGTAGCAGCTGAGCTCGTTCCTATATTGTTTTCTTTGGCTTTCTCTTTTGGGCTTCTCCTCAATGTTTTACAATGAACGTGCTAGAGAGGTTTCTAGAATTTAAGGAATGGGACTGTGGGATCTCACATTTTCAAACCAAAGGCCAAATCTCCTTCCACAATTCTCTCCCCTCAATCATCAACCATTTTTTCCTCACCAAGAAAACCAATGCATCATTTTTTGGCAGCCATAGCCAAAATGATCCATTGATGTTATTGCCGGACGGGTTTGTGGAGAGAAACAAGGGAAGGGGATTGGTAGTGTCG